CACGTGCCACCATGCCCAGCTAATTTTTTGTATTTTTAGTAGAGACGGGGTTTCACCGTGTTGACCAGGATGGTCTAGATCTCTTGACCTCGTGATCCACCCGCCTCGGCCTCCCAGAGTGCTGGGATTACAGGCTTGAGCCACGGTGCCCGGCTCTTAAGGGGAATTTAAACCATAATTGTATTATAGTTATTCGTGAACATGTGTAAAGAAAAGATTTCCAATATTGAAGCTTTGGTTAAGATAAAAGGTCATTAACTTGGAAAGGAACTTACCAGAAATTAGTTTTCTGGATTGTGCAAGATTTTGGAAGATGCAGTGTTTAATTTTTCTTTAATTAATTAATAATCCTTATCACATGAGAGTATTTTCACTCTGTTGCTGGATAATGTTAGCCAGATAATTTTCCTGTAACTCATCTAATGTAGTTGATGAGTTACTCTTCTTCATCTAGGCATGCATACCACAAAGCGTGGCGATGGAGCAGTACCCGGGCTTGTGAGAGGGCTCTGCAGTATCAAGTGGGAGAGAAAATCCACGGCTTCACCGTAAACCAGGTATGGCCTCACCGTAAACCAGGTACGGCTCCTCCCCGGCATCTCCCTTCAAATCCGCAGGCACTGCGGGTATGGCTTCTGGCGGACGTGCAGAGCCCTTCAAAGCAGAGACTTGCCTTTTCATCCTTGTGTCCCGAGGCCATGGCCCAGCTCCTGCTGTATGTAGCTACTCAGCTGAACAGCTCTTGTGAATGAAATGACCTTCAGTCCCTTCCTGGAGTCCCGCAAAGCCTGATTCTTGTCAGATTTTAGAAAATAACCCTTCTAGCTGGGTCTCTGTAATCAGACACACTAGTGTTTCTGCAGCCAAACCTGATGATTTACCGATTGTGATCATGAAGACTAAACGTCCTGATCTGTTCGGTCAGGTTTTGCCATCAAATAGTTTGCTCTAAACTTCTGCAGAGACTTTGTTCTTTGAGCCATTTGGTTTTGAGAATTATAGAGAAGAAATTGTAGACCTATACTTACTTGGGTTTACATTAAAATGAATTTTTGTTTTGTGATTTTGCTTCAACCTTTTGCATTGTTTTTTATTTGGCATAATAACTAAAAATGACACACTTCACATATTTGGCTGGCAGTTGGTTTGTTTGATGTTATAGCAAATGTAAAAGACAAACAGCTTACCATCTAGAAAGACTGATGCAGCTGTGACTGGGGACACAGTGGACGCCATGCGGTGTGCCGAGGACAACGGTGGAGAAGAGTGGGAGCTGCTGCTGCTGGGGGAGAGGGAAGAGCTCCTGGAGAGGGTGGTGTGAGAGCGGCCGGCAAGGTCCAGGCATGAAACCAGACTCAGAGCATTTGTGAAACCCTGCAAAGGCTGGCCAAAAACACTTGGATTTATAGTACAGGTTACTGTTAATAAGAGCCTTACCCAGAGTGGTTGATTCTTCTTTATTTTTCAGATTTTATAGAAACCTATTTATTTTTGAGACTGGGACTTGCCTTTTCACCTAGGCTGAAGTGTGGTGGCATGATCTTGACTCACTGCAGCCTTGAACTCCTGGGCTCAAGTGATCTCTTGTCTCAGTCTCCCAAGTAGCTGGGACAAGGTGCCACCACACCTGGCTAATTGTGTGTGTGTGTGTGTATGTGTGTAGATGGAAACTTGCTTTGTTGCCTAGGCTGGTCTCAAATTCCTGGCTTCATGCAATCCTCTTATCTGATGTATTAGTTTAGTCTCACATAGCTATGAAGAAATACCAAAGACTGGGTAATTTATAAAGAAAAGAAGTTGAGTTGACTCAGTTCTGCATGGCTGGGCAGGCCTTTGGAAACTTAACAATCATGGTGGAAGGCACCTCTTAACAGGGCAGCAGGAAAGAGTGAGAATCAAGTGAAGGGGGAAGCCCCTTATGAAACTATCAGATCTCATGAGAACGTACTCACTGCCATGAGAATAACATGGGGAACCGCCCTCATGATTCTGTTACCTCCCACCAGGTCCCTCCCACAACATGTAGGGATTATGGGAACTGCAGTTCAAGATGAGATTTAGGTGGGGACGCAGCCAAACCCTATCTCCTTGGTCTTCCAAAGTGCTGGGGTTATAGGCGTGAGCCACTGTGTCCAGCTATTGGAACTTAGGATAAGTCATGATTCTTGTTTGAGAAATAGCTACCATGAAAGCTGTTACTATTATGCTGTATATGATTAGAAAACAGACATCTCACTGTGTCCGCTGATTTTAAACGCATTGGTCGTCTATTACAAAGTACAGTAAGCTTGGAAACATAAGTAATTTAACAGCTGTAGGTTATGCAGGTTGTAGTGGACCGCTTTATGCATGAGTGTTGGATGGCAGGCTCCCTAGATTGGGCTGGATTGAGACCCAAGATCTGACCTCTGCCAGTGGCTTGCTGTGCGAGCTTAGACAGGTGACTCTTGTGGCACCTGGAAGAGGGGGCGGTGAGTGGTGTGGTCATCATAGGGTCGTGGTATGTGATTGAGGGAGAAGTCTGGCTGGCACGACTGGAGAGAAGACAGTTTCTTTAATACTGAGGAGTGTGGACACCACCAGGAGGCTTACCTAAAGTAGGAGATGACCTTCCACCACACCCCAGGACTGAGGATTCTTTTTTTTTTCTTGGGGGCTTTCCTATCCTCCCAGCCCCTCCAGCTGTTCTGGCAGCCCCAGCTTTGTGCTTCTAGCTACCACGGAGAATCCATGGAGCCTGGAGACCTGGAGCCCCTCCCTCTGTCGCAGGCTAGCGCACTCCCGCATTTACCCTCCTTGCAGGGCCATTCTGAACACTACAGGAGATGAGATGCACAAAAGCAGGGGCCGCGGGGCAGATGGTGCAGGGGAGCTGTGGCACTCAGGTGCCTGCAGCCCAGTACCATGGGAAGGGCGGACACCAGGGTGAATCCTGGCTCTGTGATTTGGGCAGCTTATTTCATCACTCTGAGCCTCAGTTTTTTTCATCTGTAAATGAGGATGAGAATATCTCCCTTACAGGGTTGCATGTGACATGATTAGAAAATGCATATACAAAAAAGAATAAAAAATTAAAAAAAAAAATAGAAAATGCCTAGCCAGTAGTAAGCACTCAAAAAAATATATATATACATTCTCATCTGCCTTTTTTAGGTCTTACTTTCCTCGTTTGTAGGATGAGGGACTTGGACAGGTTGGTTCTGTCCTGTCAGGCTCTGAAATGCTGGCTTCCCGGTGTCACCTAATTTCAGGCAGAAAAGGCAGTTTTCTCAGTGTCTTGAAGATAATCATTTCAAAGGCCATTTTGTCTAAGTTTAGCTGGTTTTGTTTTTCTTGTTAACTCAGGTGACATCTGTTCCTGAGCTGTTCCTGACTGCAGTGAAGCTCAGCCATGATGTCACAGGAGCCAGGTATTTACACCTGGCCAGAGAAGACACAAATAATCTGTTCAGGTAGGTGATACTTTGTAAGAACGTGGTCTTGAGTGTTTTTATTTAAAACAGGGGTGTCCAGTCTTCTGGCTTCCCTGTGCCACATTGGAAGAATAGCAGTAATCTTGGGCCACACGTAAAATACACTAACACTAAGGATAGCTGATGAACTTAAAAATAAAATACCTCAGTGTTTTAAGAAAGTGCATGAATTTGTATCGGGCCGTGTTCCAAGCTGTCCTGATCTTGTGAGCTGCAGGCCGCAGGTTGGGTAAGCTCAATTTAAAGCATTGACTGTCCATTACATGGTTCAAAATAATATCTCACTAGTATTCTTATTGACAGAGCATCTTGAAAAATAAGGAAAAGCTTACCTTATAATCTCATCAAAATATATAGACTGTAAATTATAGTTGGAAAACCTCCTGCTGGAGGATTGTGGTGTCAGCACGATGAGTTCTAGTAGCCTGAGGCTGTCACGCGTCCGGGAACTCTGCCGACAGCACTAGCTGAACCTTTCACATTCTGTTCACTGTCCTTCCCCAGCGTGCAGTTCCACTCCACCCCCAGGGATAGCATGCGTGTTCCTCACATTTCACATTCTGTTCACTGTCCTTCCCCAGCGTGCAGTTCCACTCCACCCCCAGGGACAGCACGGGAGTTCCTCACATTTCACCTTCCATTCACCCTCCTTCCCTAGTGTGCAGTTCCGCTCCACCCCCAGGGATAGCATGCGTGTTCCTCACATTTCACGTTCTGTTCACTCTCCTTCCCCAGCGTGCAGTTCCGCACCACTCCCATGGACAGCACTGGAGTTCCTCACATCCTTGAGCACACTGTCCTCTGTGGGTCTCAGAAATATCCATGCAGAGACCCTTTCTTCAAAATGTTGAACCGCTCCCTCTCCACGTTCATGAACGCCTTCACAGGTAAGACCGGTGTCCTGAACAGAAACTGCACTTGGCTTTGCAGGCACACTCACTGGAATTGTTAGTTTCTGAGAAGGAAAGAGGGTAGTGGGTGACGAACGTACTAGAATTTTTACCTCTTTCTAGTTGAAAGACGTTAGAAATTTAATCCTT